AGTGTGCTCTTGGCACGGACGTCCTTGAGGACAGGCAGGAGGACTTTGAGTGTTTTGCAACTGCTGTACCTCATCTCGTGTCCATGCTGATTGCACTTGAGGGAGACCCGGATGCACCGGACATCCCGACCCCGCGCTCTTACGCAGAGGCGATTGAGGGTCCCTACTCCTCTCAGTGGCAGTCAGCCATGGACGCAGAGATGACATCCTGGAAGTCCACAGGCACTTACGTCGACGAGGTTCCCCCTCCTATGGTGAACATCGTCAGTGGCATGTGGGTTTTCAGGGTGAAGCAGCCGCGAGGTTCTCCGCCTGTCTTCAAGGAGCGTTACGTTGCACGAGACTTCAGTCAGCGACAGGGAGTTGACTTCTTCCAGACCTTCTCCCCTACCCCAAAGATGACCACTCTACAGGTTGTGCTGCACGTCGTAGCTCAGCGTGACTACGAGCTTCACTCTCTTGACTTCAGCACTGCTTTCCTACAGAGCAGCCTACACGAGGAGATCTCGCTGCGCCGCCCACCTGGCTTCACTGGATCGTTTCCTCCTGGTACCTAGTGGAGGCTCCGGCGGCCAGTCTACGGTCTCCCCCAGGCGCCTTGTGAGTGGCACGACACACTGAGGACGACTCTTGCGGCTTTTGGGTTTGCTCCTTCTACTGCTGTCCCGTCGCTCTTTCTACGCACCGACACTTCCCTGCCGCCATTCTACATCCTCGTGTACGTCGACGACTTGGTCTTTGTTGCTGACACTGCTGACCTGACCCTAGTGAAGTCGGAGCTGCTGAAGAGACACACGTGCATAGACCTGGGTGAGCTGTGCAGCTATCTTGGCTTGCAGATCACCTGGGACAGAGCACGGCGCACCATTACCTCGACTCAGTCACACATGGTGCAGGAGGTCCTTCAACGCTTCCCCTTCGAGTACTCCTCGCCACAGTCCACTCCTCTGCCTACCTATCACTTGCTCTCAGCTCTACCTTCGGATGAGTCATTAGAGCCGAGTGGCCCATATCCAAAGCTTGTGGGCTGCCTCATGTACCTGATGACCTGCACTCGACCTGACCTTGCTTACCCTCTTAGCATCCTGGCACGCTACGTTGCGCCCGGGAGACACCGACCGAGTGTGAGTTGGAACAAAGAGTGTGAGTTGGAGAGTTCTTAAAAAGGGATCTGGGCAGGCATGACCTGTGGCTGTAAGCCTAGTAGTTGAGGGTGATGCGGAAAGAGAAGTAGAGAGGGGGAAGTTGGCGTGGAGGAGGACACAACTTCCTTCTGCTAGTGCAAAGAAAGAGAGAGAGAGAGAGTGAGTGTGGTGGTGGTGGTACTTGCTGGAGCGTGGGCATGTGGGCAGGGCATGCTCTGTGTACTTGGTAGTATAGGATCTCACTCCCTCACTCAGCGCATAACACGTGTACCTGTATCGCCCATTCATACGAGCTTACTTGGCGGTGGCGGCGGTGGACTCAAACAGCAGCGACTCTACGATCTCAAAGAGAGACGATGCTTGAGAAATGGTCTCAAACATGGCAGATTACAGAGAATGTGTATGACCCAATGTCAGGAGGACGCAGGAGCTTCCACTCACTTGGCGGTGGCGATGGACTCAAACATCAGCAGCTCCACAGCTTCAAAGAGTAACTCCGCCGCTGCTCCCGGCCGCTGCTGCCCCTACGCCTGCCCCTGCCCCACACCGCCATCCCCCACATTCCTCCCTGCCACAGCTGTGCCACCACCACCAACACCACCGCTGCTGCTACTGCTATCAAACTTGTCGCCGCCGCCGCTGCTGTTGCCGCTGGTGATGGTGATGGGTGTTGCTGCTGTGGCGAGGGTGGAGATAGCTGAGGCGTACTCACCAGAAAGCCAACACAGGTGGAGAACCAACGTGTGCTGCCATGGGGGCAGAGCGGCAAGGCGGCAGGGTGGCAAGGGGGAGGGGGGGCAGGGGGGCAAGGGGGGCAGGGGGACAGGGGGGTAGGGGGGCAGGGGAGAGAAACCAGAGGGGCAGAAGCCAGTAAAACGTGAGCCGTGTGCATGGTGAGTCATGGGTCGGAAGTCGGGAGTCGGAACTGGTTCACTGCTGTAGAAGAAGTAGAGCTGTTCTGCCCACTGAAGCAGTATCGGAAGTGGGCATCCCCACTTCAAAAGAAGCAAAAAGTAGTTCAAGTTAGCGCACGAAGTAGCACACGCACAGAAAGACCGAGCAGCACTCAGCATGCCATGATGGTGACATTGGTGAGCACCCTCTGTAGCAGCGCACCCTCATAGTACCCGCAGGGAAATCCAAAGAACCCAAAGAAATGAGAGAACTGACAGAATGCTTGAAAGTCTTCCAGGAGTACCTGAGCCATGGATGTGATCGGAGCAGTGATGATGCGCACTATGGTGGGCGAGTTTTGAGTCGACTCTAAAGTCACCTCGCTATTGTTTCAAACACTTTCAGGGGGTACATGAGCCATACACGGTGCGAATTTTTCTGGAGTACCAGAGAATTCTCAAGAGTCGCACCAATATTTCTGGAGTACCTGAGCCATGGATGTGATCGGAGCAGTGATGATGCGCACTATGGTGGGCTGGCATGGACCGGCGAAACGGGGGGGCGGCGTGGCCACCATGGGTATACGGGAGAAAAAGGGAAGGACGGAATGGGGGAAGGAGGGAAGTTGGCAAGGGGACAATGTTGGAAGGGAGGAAACGATGATTTTGAAAACGTCTCAAAGGTAGTGCACGAGGGTAGGGGGTTAGGAGGAGGAGGGAAGGGGATGTGGAGAAGGGTGAGGGACTAGGAACGGGAAGAATATTGGGCATGCCAGGTTTGGTGTGTGGCAGAAGCTACGAGTTCACAATAAACCATGGCAAAGCATAGAGATTGGCCGGCTTATGACATGTGGCAGCACCTCATTGATTGACTGGTAGTGATTACCTGAACAGCAAGTAGCAACGCAGGGCAGAGTGGGAAGAGCACGAGCATGGTGTGCAGGCACAGCTACTGCACCTGTGGGCACAGGGGAGTGAAGGTTGGAGGGAGCAACGAGCAGATTATTTAGTCGACTTGAAAAACCAAGAGTCGGAAGAGCACGAGCAAGATGTGAAGGCACAGCTGCTGAACCTGTGGGGCACAGGGGAGTGAAGGTTGGAGGGAGCGACGAGCAGATTATTTAGTTGACTTGAAAAACCAAGAGTCGGAAGAGCACGAGCATGGTGTGCAGGCACAGCTGCTGAACCTGTGGAGCACAGGGGAGTGAAGGTTGGAGGGATCGACGAGCAGATTATTTAGTCGACTTCAAAAACCAAGAGTCGGAAAAGCACTAGCATGGTGTGCAGGCACAGCTGCTGCACCTGCCGAGCACGCAGACAGCGGACGGGAGGTGGGAGAGAGAATAATGAGCCTCCTTCTCTAACGGAGCAAGGTGTGCAGGCACAGCTGCTGCACCTGCGAGCACGCAGACAGCGGACGGGAGAGGAGGAGGTGGAGGTGGGAGGGAGGGAGGGAGCGATGGGAGAGGGAAGGTGGAAGAGTAGGAAAATGGCAAGCAGTTCCTGAGATGTCTGGGAACGTTCCACCGCACCTGGTGCTGGTACTAGTAGGTAACGTTGGGAAGGGCGAACTTGCAGACGTCTCAACAGTCGCTCTAAGCAAGAGTCTGTTCAGAATGTTATCAAGGCTCCCCCCCACCTGGTGTTGGTAGGTAGCGTTGAGGAAGAGAGCGTCGAAGCGGCTCATTATGACTGGCAGCAACGCCCGCCACTCATCTGTGTTAAAATATATGTTGTGTAGCATGCGAACACATGTGACTGTACACCAATTGTGGTGCACAGTTGAGTTGGGACTACACCCAACTTTGGTTGTAGTCTTGCACTTTGGGGTGCCGATCCACCCAATTGTGGTGGAGCCCCCAAATGCAACCCACTTGGCTTATGGGTGCCTCACTTCCCACAAGTGAGGTCATCTCAAGCCAAGTGGGCCTAGGGTTGTCTCACTTCCACAAAGTGTGGGCAACCCAACCCACTTGACCTTTGGTTGCCTCACTCCCCCAAGTGAGGTCAACCCAACCTATGGTCACCATCACCTTTCTCTTCCAACTCTCTCTTCCAACTATGTATGCTAGGTTTCTCCTCTAATGAAGTTACTTGTTCAATTTGCTATTTTCACATGGTATAGAGCTACTTGTTCCTAGGCCTTACCTCTCCCTCCCTTCAGTTTTTTTTTTCCCATGGGCCCACCCCACAGCTACAAACCCTTTCCTACGCGTGGCTCAACTAGCCATCACTAGCATACTCTCGCCGCGACCTACGCCGTCGCCGTCGTTCCCCCCCCTCCCGCCGCGATTACTCCTTCTTCGCCTGCGGATTCCACCGCCGCGAGCGCAACGCCGCTGTCCCCTCCTCCCCCCCCGCCGCGACCCCCTGTCGCCGCCTCCCCTTCTCGCCGCTGCGCCTGATTTGGCGCTGCCTGCGCATCCTGCCGCCGCGACGCCTCGTCACCGCATGCCCGTCCCTCCGCCGCAACGTCACGTCGCCGCGTTCCCGCCGCCGTGCCTGATTCGGCGCCGCCTGCGCATCGTGCCGCCGCGACGCCTCGTCGCCGCCTGCCCGCTGCCCGTCCCTCCGCCGCGACGTCACGTAGCCGCGTTCCCGCCGCCGCGCCTGATTCGGCGCCGCCTGCGCATCCTGCCGCCGCGACGCCTCATCGCCGCCTGCCCGTCCCTCCGCCGCGACGTCACGTCGCCGCGTTCCCGCCGCCGCGCATGCTTCGGCGCCGCCTGCGCATCCTGCCGCCGTGACGCCTCGCCGCCGCCTGCCCGCTGCCTGTCCCTCCGCCGCGACGTCACGTCGCCGCGTTCCTGCCGCCGCGCATGCTTCGGCGTCGCCTGCACATCCTTCCGCCGTGATGCCTCGTCGCCGCCTGCACGCTGCCCGTCCCTCCGCCGCGACGTCACGTCGCCGCGTTCCCACCGCCGCGCCTGCTACGGCGTCGCCTGCGCATCCTGCCGCCGCAATGCCTCGTCGTCGCCTTCGCATCCTGCCGCCGCAACGCCTCGTCGCCACCTGCCCGTCCCTCCGCCTCGACGTCTCGTCGCCGCGTTCCCGCCGCCGCGCCTGCTACGGCGCCGCCTGCGCATCCTGCCGCCGCGACGCCTCATCGCCGCCTGCTCGTCCCTCCGCCGCGACGTCACGACGCCGCCTCCCCTTCCCGCCGCCGCGCCTGCTTCAGCGTCGTCTGCCCGTCCCGCCGCCGCGACAGCTCGTCGCCCCCTGCCCGTCCCACCGCCGCGACCTAACATCGCCGCGTGCGCATTCCGCCGCTGCGACTGCTCGTCGTCACCGCCCCACCCCCCCCCCCCCCCCTGCCGCGATTTCGCATTGCCGCCTCCCCTCCCACCGCCGCACCTGCTTCCGCGTCACCCATGCATCTCGCTGCCCCTTCTGCATCGCCACCCTCCCGCAATTTCCCCCGCCGCAACTGCAACATCGTCACTCCCCGGTTCTCGTTAACGCCACTGCGCCGCCGCCGCCCTGCCGCCGCGACTGCTTTGGCGCCGCCTGCCCATCCTCCACCGCGACCGTGCCATCCACGCCCACACTTCCTGCCGCCGTGACTGCCCCGTCGCCGCTTGCAGATTCAGCCGCAACTGCACCCTCCCTTCCTCCTATCCCTACTCCTCTTCTCCTCCCCTCCCCCTCCCCCTCCCCCTGCGCCCCTCGTTGCCACGGCCTGCCTGCCGCCGCCGTCCATCGTTTCGCCGCCGCAGCCATTTCCCCGCCGCCTTCACCTTTCCGCCGCCGCATCCTGCTTGCAGCCGCCGCTCTCAAAATCGCCGCCGCGGCCCTTCCGCCGTCGCCTGCGCCCCTCGTCGTCGCGGCCTGCTCGCCGCCGCCGCCCCCGACTTTGCCACCGCCTCCCCTTCCCGCCGCTGCACGTTCGCACAGCCGCCTGCGCCTTTGTCACCGTCGCTCCCTGCACCTTGAACGCCTCTGCCCTCCGCCGCTGTCTCCCTCCTTTACCCCCCCCCCCCCCCCCCCCCCCCCTCCCTCCTCCTGCCAGCGGCAGCAGTAGCGGCAGCAGGGGAAGTGCAGCAGCCTCCGCAGCAGCAACTTCACCCTTGGCCGCCGCGGGTCCACCCGCCGTCGCCCATCATGACTGCTACCCCCCCTGCCCCTCTCCCCCCTCCTCACTAGAGCAATGTTACTCCTCGCCCCTCCCTTCTCAACACTCCGACCCTCCACTCCTCCCCCCCCCCTTATCTCCGCCTGCTCACCCCCTCCCCCCCTCCCCATCTGCGGCGTTTCCAGCAGCTCCAGCATCAGCAGCAGCAGCACTTCCAGCAGCGGCAACAACCACAATTTCTCCAACCGCACCCCCCACATCTCCTCCAGCCGCGGAAATCGCAGCAGCAGCAGTTCTTCCACCACCAACAGCAGCCGCAATCTCTCCAGCCTCACCCGCCACAGTTTCTCCATCCCCAGCAGCAGCAGTCCTTCCATCCGCAGCAGCGGCAGTCCTTCCAGCAGCAGCTGCTGCCACAGTTCCTTCCGCCGCAGCAACAGCAGTCCTTCCTACAGCAGCAGCAGCCACAGTCTCTCCAGCCGCAGCAGCAGCAATGCTTCCAGCAGCAGCAGCTGCCACAGTTCCTTCCGCCGCAGCAGTAGCAGTCCTTCCAGCAGCAGCGGCAGCCACAGTTTCTTCAGCCGCAGCAGCAGCAGTGCTTCCAGCATCAGCACCAGCCACAGTTCTCTCCATCCGCAACAGCAGCAATGCTTCCAGCAGCAGCAGCCCAATCTCTCCAGCCGCAACCGCCACAGTCTCTCCCACCGCAGCAGCCGCAGCAGCAACAGTACTTACAGCAGCAGCACCCGCCGCTCTCTCCCTCTTCTATCCATCTAACAACTCTCCAGTGCTCTGTGTTCCCTCCCTCTCCTTCCCCCCCCACCCTGGACTTTGTCCTTGACAGTGGGGCCACCGAAACCGCACTAAAAGACGCTGGCACCCTCACCCCCCTCCCACTTCCCACCCATGTTCATGGTGCCGACTCCAGCTTTTCCATCCCCTGCACTCACCTCTCCACCCTTCCTTGCACCGCCTTCCTATCGGGTACAGTCAATGGTCTCCACATCCCTACCCTTCGCAATAACCTCCTCTCCCACCGTGAACTCCAAGGCGTTGGCATTACCGCCATATACCCTGGCTTTGCTTCCTACTGCGATCTCTACCACACCGCCTCTGGTCGTTTCCTCCTGCGCATTCCCCTTTGCCCTCGCACTCGCCTTTTCACGCTCCGCACACCCTGTCCCTCCTTTTGTCACGTCACCACTCGTGCTGGTACTTCCACCGGTCCCCTTCTCCCTCCCCCTCCCCCTCCTCCTCCCCCTCACCCTCCCCCTCCCCTTCTCCCTCTTCCTTCGATATCCTCCTCCTCTACTCCATTCGCCTCCTCCTCCACCCCCAACTTTTCCCCCACCCCATCCCCCTCCTCCTCTACTGCCCTCTCCCATCCTGCAGTGCTCCTACATCACAGACTCGGTCATCCCAACATCGCCGCACTTCGCTCCACCGTCACCTCTCGCCTCCTTAACAGCCTTCCTCCCACCTTACCTCCCCTCCCCTCCTCCCCTGCTCCCCCATGCCCATCATGCATTCATGGCAAGCTCAAACGGTCCCCCCATCACAGTCATCCCACCTTCGCTTCCGCCCCCATTGACCTTGTTCACATGGATCTCTGGGGCCCTTATCCCATCCGCTCCCGTCAGGGGCACAGGTACATGCTCGTGCTCGTCGACGACCACAATCGGTACTCCATCGTCTTCTTTCTTCACACGAAAGACCAGGTGCCGGCTGTGGTCATCAACTGGGCTGAGCAGTGCCGCAACCACTTCAAACGTCCCATAGGCCGCCTTCACTCTGACGGTGGGGGTGAGTTCATCAATCATACTCTCTCCACTTACTGCAAAACATACGGCATTCAGCAGACCTCCACCCTTCCCCACTCCCCTCAGCAAAACGGCATCGCTGAGAGTCGCATCCGTGAGATCACCAAGATTGCGCGCTGCCTCATTGCTCACGCCTCCACCCCTCCCTCCCTCTGGAGCTATGCCCTCATTCATGCCGCCCTCCTCCTCAATCTCCGCTCCCACCCTCAGCATCCCTCCTCCTCCCCCACAGAACTCTGGTCCAAGGCCAAGCCTGACGCCGCAGGCCTTCGTGTTTGGGGCTGCAAGGCGTTTGTCCTCATTCCACCGGCCGACCGCTCCCGCGCTGCTGGCAAGCTCGCTCCTCGCGCTCTGGAGTGCGTCTACCTTGGGCACAATCGTGATTCCCCAGGCTACCTATTCCTCCACCCTCCCACCAATCGCCTCATCCGCAGCATTGACGTCGTCTTCGACGAGTCCACTCCCTACTACTCCACCCCTCCTCCTGACCCCCTCCCTCCTCCCACTCGACCTCTCGCTTGGACCGACACCGTCCTCCCGCCTCTTATCCCTCCAGCGCCTCTCCTCCCACATGTCGCCGCCCCACTCCCGCCTTCCTCCTCTGCCGACGTCTACGACCCTGCCGCACCCGCCTCCCCCGCTCACTCAGCTGCACCCCCTCCCCCCTCTCCCTCCTCCTCTCATTCTCCTCCTTTCCAGCAGCCGGATCAGCAACAGCAGGGGCAGCAGTAGCAGCAGCGGCACCCGGGGCAGCAGCAGCAGCAGTAGCAGCCGGAGCAGCAGCAGCAGCTGGGGCAGCCGCAACAGCAGCAGCCGGGACAGCAGCAGCAGCAGCACATTCAGCAGCAGCACGGTCCGCAGCAGCCGCAACAACAATTGCAGCAGCTTCAGCAACACCAGCAGGGCTATGATCTACCTGTACGCCTTTTCTGCGATTTGTTGCGTTTTTTGTAAAACCTGCTACTCTCTACATGGGCCGTTCATGCGCTACGCAGCTTACATGGTGTCCCTGGCGTCTCTATTTTCAATTTCCATCCCATGTGCATGCGGGATGACTGTGGTGGCCATGGGCACGGGGTACTGTCCTGCTTATGAATGAACCATGAAGGACGGCATTAATTCGCTAGCTAATAAGGCCATGAGCAATTGTGGCCTTGAGTGAGTCATCACTGGAGGGAGGAGAGGACATGAGAGGTCATGAAGGTTTGTAATGCACTAAGTGCGTGCATGTGTGCATTTGACTGAGCTGCTGTCAATTATTTTGTGGATGGTTGTCCCCCTCCCTTCCCCTCCCCTCTCCCACCTCTTCTCCCTCCCTGCTCCCCTTTCCCCTCGCGTGCTTCACTGACCTCATTGTAAAGTGAATGCTTCCGATTTCCCTCATCTCCAGAAGTCTTGACAATAACAACTTTCATGGGGAGATCCCTCTTGCACTCTTTACTTTCACAAGCATGGAAACATTGTGAGTGGGGAGACATACGCAACGCACTCTGCCTGCTAAGTGCTGCCACTCACTCCCCTCCATTCCTCACTCCCTCCTTGCCTCTTCTGGCCTCCCGTGGGTTTGCATCTTCCGTCTGCCCTCAACTCAACTCCATGCATGCGACTGCTGTTCGGTCTGGCTCCATGCATGTCCGATTTTCTCCCTTATTCAGTTAGTCTCAATTCAGGTTCACTGCATGTTACCTTTTTAAAATTCCCCTAGGCTGTAGAGAGGAACAGAGGAATGGGAGGCACACCCCTCCCAGACTCATTGCACCCCTCCTAGACACTCGTTGTGCGCCCTTCCCTGACCCATTGCATTGCACGCCCTTCCCATCCCATCCCACCATGGTGGCATGGGGAAATGCGATTGTGACACAACAAGTGACTGCTGTATTTAGTCCTATTTTGGAATTTTGTTAAATGATGGTTGTTCGTTCTTCTCCCATCCCATTTTATTTCAGGCATATAGGAGGCAACAACTTCACAGGAACCATACCACAATCAATCAGCATGCTGACTTCACTTAATGTCATGTGAGCATCAGATGCCATTCCACCATATGTCCGTCTGTATCATCTACACCTTCCATGTTTTTTCATCACCTCTCTCTCTCTCTCTCTCTCTCTCTCTCTCTCTCTCTCTCTCTCTCTCTCTCTCTCTCTCTCTCTCTCTCTTTAAAGATTCAGTTGATATGAGACCACGATATGGAACCGTTAAAACCAAAGAAATTCCTTTTGGAATTTGATCAGAATCCCTCGTCTTTTGCGTGACCTCTGCAGCTCCTTGACCAGCAACCAGCTATCAGGGACCTTGGCCACATCTCTTACGACCCTCACAAATCTTTAGGCCATGTAAGAAAAAATACACGTATATTTTCCTCATATTTAACTACCAATGCTGTGTTGTAAAATCTCCACATATTTTATACTCACCAACCCATCTCAAGCACTGTCCTTCATAGTCCATGCTCAAGCGATCTTGTGTCATGCCATGTATCTGCCATTCACTTATGCACCCCCATTCAAGAGACTTGGAAAATCATGTTTGAGGCACCTCAGGAGCTGTTTTAAGAAAGAATGGTTGCGTCCCATGCATCGATCTCTTCACACCCACACCACCAGATATCTGGTGTGGTGAATCATGTTTGCAGCGCCTTGGGAACTGTTTTGAATTCCAATGGTCTTGTGTTGCCATGCATTCATCACTCTACACTACACCCACATCAGAGACCTGGCGGCCAACACCTTCTTAGGAACCTTACCCGCAGGCCTTGGGGCGCTCTCCAATCTTCGTACCCTGTAGCTAAAAGCCTTCATGCAGACTTGACCATATTCCTTGCCATGGTCATGCTTCATCAGTTTTATGTGCATGTTCATGCTTAGACTATGCATGAGCATGTATCAAACTTAAACTGGTTCATCCGAACCTCCTCAACCGGCCGGGTGGTCGAAACAAACCCGAACCTGTTTGGGTGGAACCATCTGGCGACTTGGTTGGTTCGAAATTTTCCTGAATGTTGTAATTGCTACTGGTTTGACCCGAACTGCTCCCAGTTCGTCGAACTGGTGTGTTAGCACCCATGGCTAGAGCCATATAATGGAAAACACGAAATTGCGTGGCATGAGAATGCCAAGCAAGAAAGTTGGAGCACGAGTTCAGCTCGGTATAATCAAAACCCTATTGTGCGGCTGCGTTGCGCGGTACCATCAAACCTGTTCAACTCGAACCATATGCCCCAGCTCGGTCGGTATAATGCTCATGTCTAAAGATTTGGCTAATGTTGTACTCTCAAAGGGAACAGCAGGCACTTTGCTCCACTTTCTCTCACCTACGAACAAGCTGTCCCCCTTGGTACTTCATTCATGCCAGCATTTTGTCACATGACTATTGACTTTGACATGAGCATTGGGTCGTCCCCTTCGGGCCCTACCTGCTTTGCTCGGCCCAACCTCGGGTCAAAACTTAGGAGAAGCCAGCTCGACCAGGGCTTATAGGAGCGGGTCGGCTGTGACTGTCTGGCGGATCGCCAGTTCTGCCCACCAATTTGTGCGGATCGATGATTTCGGTGGCAGATCCTCACTGATGAGATGAGAGCAATTTGACCGCCGATCTGTGCAGATTGGGCACCTTGGCAGTCAATCCGTACAGCTGACGGGTTAAGTCGGGTCGGGCCGAACCAGCCTATAACAAATCGTTACTACCGACCAAAAACCTGATTTCGGGTCTCGGGGCAGGCCGGCTCGAAACACCCCTGTCAGCCATGTCAGGACTTCGACCCGTCCCGGATTGATCTGCTCATGTCTTGACTCATGCGATGGAATTAAGGAGTGGAAAAGTCAAGAGACTGATGTGAATAGGTTTGCAAAGGAAACTAAAGTGGCCAGACGGTACAATAGGAAGCTCCAACACTGACGGATGGTGTAGTAACAGTGTTACTTGACAAACTTAAAAGCGAAGACAAGCTCGCATCGAGTAATTCATGCAGTCTAGGAACTTGGTATCAATCCGAGCAGCTCTGGGCTTCATTGTTGACTCTTCTAAGGTTTTTTTTATAAGAGTCTAATTATTCTGCATGCTGGCTGGTCCGTATCTGACAACCAGCTCACAGGGAGACTCCCTCCTTCCATATCCAACCTCACCAAGCTAGAACAAATGTACCTCCGTTTTTACCCTGGAAATCATTACCATGCACAAGGACTAGTGACGATGTGACCCCCACCTTTTCTGCTCTCTTTAATGTTACAGCATGTTCGTGGTTGTGTTATTGACAGCGATTGTGCTATTAATATTCTTGCATTTAGGGTTGACCTAGCATGGGTTGGAGGGATGCTTGCAGGCACCCATTCAGCAAGCCTGATGTGATACCTTTCTTGCACGACAAGTCCTTCTCCTGTCTTCTCACTGTTTCAGGTTGATTCGCAACAACTACTTTTATGGGATCTTTCCTTCCTGCCTCTTTGAATACGGCTTGCACAAGATGTGAGAGATGCTTGATTAAGAGTGTACCTTGGTGAGGCAGGAAGGAGCACTGCGCTCAAGTGGTTACGAAGAATGAAGAGTGAAAGAGTGGTTGCTTAGAGTGTTTTATGCCTAATGGGCTTGAGAAAATGTCAAACTCTAAATCTGTTTGTCTTGTGAACTGGGTTCGAAAATGTTGAGGCTCCTCTCAGTTCAGAATTGGACCAGTCCCGCTCGAATTTTTGTTTGGTTGGTCTATACGAGCCTTGTTAGTCATGCAATTGGGCTTTTGGAGTATACTTAGCTGGGCAGGCAAATGCCAGCTGCGGCAAACAAAAAGCGGGTGTGATTGGGAGCGTAGGGGTTGGGGGAAGGGAACTTAAGTCGTATTTTTCCTTGGACGTGAGGGGGATTTGAGCTCAGGGTTTAAGAGGTTTTGGCAAGTGTCAAGTGGCTGATGATATATTATGGGATTAGCCTAGGTGTGGTTGAAGGGAGTTAAAAGTATGGCTACATTGTGCCCTCAACAAAACTCAAAATGTCATACTAATTCTCAAAATCTGTGTAACCCCTCTTGCAATTTTCTTCACAGTCTCATGTCGGCATGATGGTTCTGGGGGAGAGTTTAACTCGCTGAACTTCAACTTGCCTCGCTTGTTTACCGAGACGAGCTGAGACCATGACCAATGGTCAAGAGCCCCCACCCCAGGCACATATGCCTACGGAACCCCACATCCCCAAAACAGGCTCCCATGTTTGGGGCATTTTCAGGTCAGCTGAACGTAAATCAGCGAGCTGGACTCATGCCCATGAGATCGCAGGGAGGGGACAGCAAGAGCAAGCAGTTGTTGTAATGCTATCCACGCTTCCGTTTGCCATCCAACTTTTCGTTGCCACCCCACTTTCCACCTTCTATTGTTTCCAGTGACATCAGCAACAACAGCTTCTATGGAGAAATCAACTCCAACTTCCGCAGCATGATTCCTGATAATTGCGCGCTGCTCAACATCGCAGGCAACTTCTTCTATGGTGACCCCATGCTCTACGCCAATGGCTGCCAGTTCTGCCCCTCGAGGGTCATTCAGCCCCTTGTCTTGACACCAGCCGACCTCACCAACCCCACTGGTGGCCGCTGTAGACCCCAGGGGGATGGAGCAATAATTGAGATGACACGCGCAGGGGCCAACAAGAGGGGCGAGGCGAGTCTGCGGCAGAACGTTTTCACGCTGAACAAGCAGATGGAGTGCACGGCGAACGAGACGCAGCGCAGCAACGACGAGTGCCTGGCATTCTGCAGCTTGTCGCGGAAGCTGGGGCCATACGACGGGCACGGAGCGTGTTTGCCGCCGCAGGCGGGGGCAGCAGAGGCGCGCTTCACGTGTGAGTGCTACGACGGATACGTCCCGACCAACGGCACCCTTGGCTCCACCTGCGCCCGCCCTGCTCCACCCCCTGCTGCAGGTACACTGTGCTCTGTGTTTGCCTGCCCTGCTCCAACCCTCCCCCGCCCCACACGCACCCACCCACAACACAAAGTAGGTTCTCATATGCGCCCTTTTTTTTCTTCTCTTTTCTTTTTCTTTTAACGTCTGTGTGCGCATACTTGTGTGTGTGTGTGAGTGCGTGCGTTTGTGCATGTGTGTGCGTGCATGCATGCGTGAGCGCGTGAGTGCGTGTATGTGTGAGTGCGTGCGTGAGAGCATGAATGCGTCGTGTATGCGTGTGTACGTGCGGGTTTGCGTGCGTGTGTGCTGGATGAGAAAGTTACCTATTTTGCATGTATTCTGTAGAGCTGCGTATTTGACATCCTTGATTTCTTTTCCATCTTATAAGCATGGGGATGCATACATATTTGCCATTGAAATATTGTGCGCATGTAAGTCTACGGAGAGGCACTCTATATCGAGAGCTGGACTACGGGGGGAGGGGGGGGGGGGGGGGGGGGGGGGGCACGGGTGGTACAAGCGATCGCAGCGTTTGCTCGTGCTCTCTCTACTTACGCATTCACTGGCAAGAGTTCCACAAGCAAAAATTGGATACAATAATGCAATGCAATGACAAAAATGATTACGTCACAGACTCGCAACCAAGCACACATGCAGGTCGACCTCCAGCGCAACACAGGGGCGGCCTGCCAGCGCGGCAAGTCGACCGCGTGTCAACGCAGCTCGAAGGCGGCTTGCCATCACTGCAAGTTGGTGACTTGCTAGCAGCGCACTAGCGTGGCTTGCCAACGCTGCAGCAAGGCCAGTGAGAAAATATGAACGAGAATGGAATGAACTATGAAAGAAGTGAGTACAAGTACTAACCCTAATTGGGTTGTACCCCCTATGGGATACCCCACTATAGCCTACACAAAAGCATCAGCTATCATGTTCTGACACACCCCCATAGGCAAAGTGGGGGAGAACAAGGGGTCACAAGACCAGTCAAGTAAAGGAAAGCAAAGCAAGCTCAGGGTGGATCACAAAGTCACCACACATTCCGAGCACAAGTTCAAGGCCACAAGGCCAGTTCACATGAAGGAGAACACACACACATATATATATATATATATATATATATATATATATATATAAAGTTAGACAAGCAAGAGCAGGTATATATATATGTAACAGTACAAGCAAGGTCAAGAGGTGAGCAAGTGAGGCAAGACAGGGACAAGACCCAGCTGAGTGCAGAAGCGCTGATGATCATAAGGCGGAAGTGCCTTGGTGAAAACATCAGAAGTGTTGGCCTCAAAGGCCACGTACGCAAGCCGCAACTGACCACGCTGCTGTAGCTCACGAGCAAGGAAGTAGTGAAGAGCAATGTGCTTTGTTCTGTGCTCCAGTCTCTGCTCTCGACACAAGGCCAGCATGGCCTTGTTGTCTACGTACAGGACTGGAGGAGAACGAGGCGGCTCTCCAAGGTCGGTCAGCAGGTAGGTGAGCCAGCGAAGCTCCTGGGCAGCCATGGCCCCAGCGTAGATCTCAGCCTCACAACTGGAGCCGAGAACAGAAGACGAGCGAGTAGCCCGCCACGAAACAGAGCCGGAACCAAGGCTGAAGGTGTAACCCTGTGACGACCGCTGCGTAGCCTGGTTGTCAGCCCAAGAAGCGTCTGCGTGCCCAGTAAGGACCACTGGACTCTGCCCTCCAAGCACAAGCCCCATGCCCGATGTACTGCACAAGTAGCGCAACACCCTCTTTGCTGCAGCCATGTGCTCCGGTCTGTGTCTCCCAGGAGCAACATAGCGTGCGAGAATGCTAAGAGGGTATGCATGTCAGATTTATATGACATAGTTGCTGTAGGCTATAGTGGGGTAGCACATATGGGGTACAGGGTTTCTAGGGTTATATTTGTACCCAATCTTTCCTTAGTCATTCTCATTCCTGCTTACTCATTTCACATGGTATAGAGCGGGTTCCCTGTGGAACTCTGCCTAGGGCCCACCGAAGCGCGCCCCGAGGCGCGCTCAACTTTTTTTTTCCGCTCTCGAGCGACCCTCCGTGTCGCCTCCCTCCCACACGCGGCCCCAGCCGCCCGCTACGATCGCGGCCCCAGCCGCCTGCTCGACGCGGCCCCCAGCCGCCTGCTCGACGCGGCCCCCCAGCCGCCCGCTACGCCGCGGCCGCCGCCCACTACGATCGCGGCCCCGGCCGCCTGCTACGACCGCGGCCCTAGCCGCCTGTTCGACCGCGGCCCCGCCGCCCGCTCCTGTCGCGGCCCCGGCTGCCTGCTCGCACGGCCTCGCCGCCCGCTACTACCGCGGCCCCGGCCGCTTGCTCGACCGCGGCCCCCCAGCCGCCTGTTCGACCGCGGCCCCGCTGCCCGCTACTGTCGCGGCCCCGGCCGCCTGCTAGCGCGGCCTCGCCGCCCTCTACTACCGCGGCCCCGGCCGCCTGCTTGCACGGCCCCGCCGCCTGCTACGACCGCGGCGCCAGCCGCCTGTTCGACCGCGGCCCCGCCGCCTACTACCGTAGCGGCCCCGGCCGTCTTCTCGCGCGGCCCCGCCGCCCACCTACTACCGCGGCCCCAACCGCCTGCTCGCACGGCCCCGCCGCCTGCTACGACCGCGGCCTCCCAGCCCACTAGGCTGCGGCCGCCGCCTGCTCAACCGCGGCTTCGCCGCCCACTACGCATCGGCCCCGCCGTCCACCTGTAGTGACTGTGCGGGCGGACCTCTGAGCAGCTGTGCCGCCGAGCCGCCCGGAAACCGAGCCGCCCTGCAGCCGAGCCGCCCGGGAGCCGAGCCGCCCTGCACCCGAGCCGCCCTGTCGCCGAGCCGCCCGGGAGCCGAGCCGCCCTGCTCCCGAGCTGCCCTGCCGCCGAGCCGCCCGGGAGCCGAGCCGCTGTGCACCCGAGCCGCCCGGTCGCCGAGCTGCCTTTCTGTCGAGCTACGCGACCTGCCCTGCCTGGTGAGCACAGTCCCACTGTCACTGCGTGCTCTTCCCCCTACTGCTTGCACTGCTTCACAGTCGTCGTCATGGCTACCCCTAGTGTCCTAGCTTTTGACGCTGAGGGTCGCGCCATTGATTTTGAGGTCTGGCTAGACGACCTGCAGCTGTTCTTACAGTGCGACAGAGCTGACGACCTTTCTCTCTTTGACCTCACCTCTGGCGCCTCTCCTGCTCGTGCTACTGATGCTGATCCCGCTGTCCGCTCTAAGTGGGCCACCCGCGATGCTGCTGCACGTCTTGCTGTGCGTCGCCACCTTCCTACCTCTGAGCGTGCGCACTTCAGTCAGTACAAGAGTGCTCAGACCTTGTACGACGCTGTAGTTGCGCGCTACTCCTCCCCTGCCACTGCTGCACTGAGCCGTCTCATGCTTCCCTACCTCTTTCCTGACCTCTCTGCCTTTCCCACTGTCGCTGACCTCATTACGCATCTCCGCACTAGTGACACTCGCTACCGCGCCGCCCTTCCTGCTGAGTTCTGCGCTAAGAACCCCCCCCCCATGTACATCGCTCTCTACTACGTAGTCGCGCGCCTCCCTGACTCCCTTCGAGTCGTCAGGGACCACTTTCTCGCAGTCTGCCCCACCACGCTCACCGTCGACCTCCTCGAGAAAGCCCTCCTCGCAGCGGAGAAGAGCATAGTCGCTGTAGGTGCTTCTCGTGGTGATCCTCGCACCCCCATCTTTGAGGGGTGCTCTCCTTCCCCCTTGCTGCCCTCTGTTGCCTCTGCTGCTGCTGCCGACCTGCTTGGTCTTGAGTCGGTCGGCGCGGCGTCTGCCCCTAGTGGGAGACGTCGCTCCAGCAAGGGCAAGGGGGGCAAGGGCGCGGGTGGAGCTGGAGGGGGCGGTGGCGGTGGCGGCGGTGGCGGCGGGGGGAGTGGGGGTGGCGGAGGGACTAGTGGCGGGGGTGGTGGTGGTGGTGGCAGCAGCGGCGGGGACAGTAGTGGTGGTGCCAGCGGTGGTGGTGGAGGCAGCGGCGGGGGTGGAGGCGGCGGAGGTGGAGGCGGTGGAGGCGGCGGCGGAGGAGGCAGTGGTGGTGGAGGGGGTGGAGCTGGTCGGGGTGGTACCCAGCAGCGTAGCGGCGGTGGTGGTGGCCAGCGCTCGCAGCGGCAGCAGCAGCAGCGCTCTCGGGACATCCCTTCGCCTCAGCAGCTTCGTGAGTGGTACGCTGGGCGTCAGAGGGGTGGGGGTACTGGTCCCTGCACCTACGTTCTTCGTTCCGGCGACCGCGCGGGTGAGCAGTGTGGGGGTGCCCACGCCACCCAGCGCTGCTTTGGCCGCCTGACGGACGCCTGGCGTCAGCAGTTCCCTGGGGCTAGTGAGATCCCTCGCTGGGATGAGCTTCTCAGGGCTGGTGTAGCGATCTTTGATCTTGATTTTGATGCTATCCTTACTGCTATGTATGTTGTGGATTATAGTGAGGAGAATGAGGGTTACCGTTGTTTCCAGCCCGACCCGGGCATTGGTACTGCTGCGCTAGGTGCTTGTGAGGCTGCTGCTCTAGGTGCCAGTGCGTCTGCGCTCTCAGGTATTGGTGAGACTGCGCTCTCAGGTACTGCGTCGTCCTCGTCCTCCCTCACTTTCACACTTGACTCCGGAGCTTCTCGCTCCTTCTTTCGAGACCGCACTACCCTTACGCCGCTCGGCCGACCGGTTGCAGTCTCCCTTGCTGACCCCTCTGGAGGTCCTGTCCTGTCTCACTTCTCCACTGTCCTCCCGTGTCCGGCTGCCCCTTCGGGCACCCTGTCGGGTCTGTACCTTCCCTCGTTCTCCACGAACTTGGTGAGTGGAGCGGACCTGCAGGATGGGGGTGTTCACCAGTTCACTCCTGCGAGTCAGCGGGTGACCCACTGCACGGAGGCACGCACAGGCCGACACCTGGCCACGTTCTCGCGTCGGCCGGGGTAGAGTCTCTACACCCTGACCGTTGAGTCTCCTCCTGTCCCTGCGTCTGGTCAGGTGGCTGCGTCGGGTCAGGTACTTGCTGCTGCGTCCCGGTCAGGTCCTGAGTCTGCCCCCTGTTCTTGTCGCCTCCTGTCTCACGAGACTCTCCTGTGGCACCACCGTCTTGGCCACCCCTCCTTGCCCCGTCTTCGGAGCATGGCTTCCCGTGTCCTTGTCTCTGGTCTTCCCCAGTCTCTCCCTCCTCTCCCCTCCGGGCCAGGATCTTCCTGTGTCCCCTGTGTCGAGGGTCGCCTCCGGGCTACTCCTCACTCCTCCCACTTCCCCCC